TGAAATACCTTTCACATATATAGGAATAAAAGAATCAGCCTAATTAGGAACATTTTATGTACTAAGTGTGTGGTATTATCTTTCCACAGAGCAAATAACAGAATGTCTCATCATCCTACCTCTACTTCTATTACCATGAGCAGTTACCTTTAAGTATATAAAACCCAATTAATCCACATGTATTGAAATTGCTTTATGCTAATGAACAGAAATAAAAGAAGGCAGAGATAATGTATCAGTACATTGCATTAGCTCAAACTGGCAGCATCTGTCATCTTAACTGTACTTAACTCTTGTTTTATGAAAGAGCATAATTAAAATAATCTTTATCAACTTTCCCTTGACATTACATTTAAATATTGTGAATTAAATATACTTACATAGAGTTAATAATAAAAAATAAAAATAGCTACCTTCCATGTAGACAAGGATTTGAGAGGCAATCATTTGCATTTATTTCACAGTGTGTTCCGAAAACTCACTCTTGCGAGTCACAGGTATAATGATTGATGCCATCAATACAAGCTCCATCATGGAGACAGGGCTCTGATAGGCATTCATCTATATTTACTTCACAATCGATGCCTACATTAGAACAGACAGACAAAACAGAGACAATTTAAATGCAAAACTCAAAGGTTTGTTCCTTATAGTAAACATCATGAAGAATCAAGACTTCCTCCCTGTAATGATAATTTGACATCCTGTAGCAAAAAAATAAAAAACAAATTCAAGGTTAAACATGTTTACTTCTATGAATTCTCAGACTACTAATTTAATATGAATGAGAAAAAAACAAGCACAAGCTTAATCTACTTAGGAGATTTGTTTTAGTGTGAGGAGTTGTTTGTTGAGAATATTAGTGAATTAATGAATTACATCAAGTTGTTACTGTGAATACTAATTCACAGGGTTTTTTTTTTTTTTTTTTTTTTTGTAATGGTCATTGAAAGTCAAACATAATTAAGAAGAGTTTGAAGTTTCCTAAATATGGTCTTGGTGAGTCTACTAATGGGAAGTCAGATTTCTAAATGTAATCTAACTTTGGGGTTTTCAAAGTTTAAGTTGTAAATATTTATTAAGAACTACCATGTACCACCTCTATGCTCAACTAGGGGTACTGACTTTAAAAAAAAAAGTCCTTGTTAACCCAGAAATGTTGTCAAGGAGACAGTATTTATAGACAGCAAGCATCTAGAGAACAACATAAGCAGACTTAATGAAAGCAAGATTGTTTCAGGTTTCACATGTTTAAATAGCAGGAAAGTGGAAAGTCATTCAAATGGTTAGAATAATCCTTTTGTGTATTGTGTCTATTTGTACTGAGCATTCACTAATAAAACTACCATTGATTGAGCACTTTACTGGTGTCCCTGTTCAGAAGACTTTAAGCATGTTGTCTTAGTTAATGTCATAAAACCTGCAGGCATATCTCATTAACCCCAACTCACTGGTGAGTAAACAAGGTTCACAAAGTTTAAGCAATGCTTCCAGATCACACCGGCCATAACACAGATCAGGATACAAATCCTGTTTCCTCTGACTTACACTCCTTTTTTTTTTCCAGCATATTATGGTGGTACAAATGTTTAGGTTATCTACGTTGCCTTGACCCCTCCCCTTCCCTGAGTAGATCTTCACCACCCCCCAGATGGTGCTCATCGCACATCATTATGTAGTATATACCCATCCCTCTTCTTCCCTCCCATCTGCCAGACACCCGATAAATGTTATTCCTATATGTGCACTTAGGTGTTGATCAGCGAAACCAATTTGCTGGTGAGTACATGTGGTGGCTTGTTTTTCCATTTCTTGGGTACTTCATTTAGTAGATAAAACTGTGTCATGAACTTTTGAGATTTAATGTGTCTGGCACATAGTAAGGGCTCCAGGTATCAGCTATTATTATCATTATTAGTATTATTATTTTTTTATATTCTTCATTGTAATAACCCATATCACTCATGTTTATTCCCAAGTACACATTATATTATTGGCACAAGTGCCACATTTTCTGATTGGCATCTACTACATTACTCAGCATAGCAACTTATGCACATATCACAGCAATTGCAGTGTAGGTAAATTAAAGTAATGATACCATGGAGTATTATACAGCTATAAGAAACAATGCTGGTATAGCACCTCTTGTATTTTCCTGGATAGAGCTGGAACCCATTCTACTAAATGAAGTATCCCAAGAATGGAAAAACAAGCACCACATGTACTCACCAGCAAATTGGTTTCGCTGATCAACACCTAAGTGCACATATAGGAATAACATTTATCGGGTGTCTGGCAGATGGGAGGGAAGAAGAGGGGATAGGTATATACTACATAATGAGTGCGATGAGCACCATCTAGGGGGTGGTGAAGATCTCACTCAGGGGAAGGGGAGGGGTCAAGGCAACGTAGATAACCTAAACATTTGTACCACCATAATATGCTGGAAAAAAAAAAGGAGTGTAAGTCAGAGGAAACAGGATTTGTATCCTGATCTGCTGTTATGGCCGGTGTGATCTGGAAGCATTGCTTAAACTTTGTGAACCCTTGTTTACTCACCAGTGAGTTGGGGTTAATGAGATATGCCTGCAGGTTTTATGAACATTAACTAAGACAACATGCTTAAAGTCTTCTGAACAGGGGACACCAGTAAAGTGCTCAATCAATGGTAGTTTTTATTAGTGAATGCTCAGTACAAATAGACACAATACACAAAAGGATTATTCTAACCATTTTGCAATGACTTTCCACTTTTCCTGCTATTTTAAACATGTGAAACCTGAAACACAATCTTGCTTTTCATTAAGCTCTGCTTATGTTGTTCTCTAGATGCTTGCTGTCTATAAATACTGTCTCCTTGACAACATTTCTGGGTTAACAAGGACTTTTTTTTTTAAAGTCAGTACCCCTAGTTGAGCATAGAGGTGGTACATGATAGTTCTTAATAAATATTTACAACTTAAACTTTGAAAACCCCAAAGTTAGATTACATTTAGAAATCTGACTTCCCATTAGTAGACTCACCAAGACCATATTTAGGAAACTTCAAACTCTTTCTTAATTATGTTTGACTTTCAATGACCATTACCAAAAAAAAACCTGTGAATTAGTATTCACAGTAACAACTTGATGTAATTCATTAATTCACTAATATTCTCAACAAACAACTCCTCACACTAAAAACAAATCTCCTAAGTAGATTAAGCTTGTGCTTTGTTTTTTTCTCATTCATATTAAATTAGTAGTCTGAGAATTCATAGAAGTAAACATGTTTAACCTTGAATTTGTTTTTTATTTTTTTGCTACAGGATGTCAAATTATCATTACAGGGAGGAAGTCTTGATTTCTTCATGATGTTTACTATAAGGAACAAACCTTTGAGTTTTGCATTTAAATTGTCTCTTGTTTTGTCTTGTCTGTTCTAATGTAGGCATCGATTGTGAAGTAAATATAGATGAATGCCTATCAGAGCCCTATCTCCATGATGGAGCTTGTATTGATGGCATCAATCATTATACCTGTGACTGCAAGAGTGAGTTTTTCGGAACACACTGTGAAATAAATGCAAATGATTGCCTCTCAAATCCTTGTCTACATGGAAGGTAGCTATTTTTATTTTTTATTATTAACTCTATGTAAGTATATTTAATTCACAATATTTAAAATGTAATGTCAAGGGAAAGTTGATAAAGATTATTTTAATTATGCTCTTTCATAAAACAAGAGTTAAGTACAGTTAAGATGACAGATGCTGCCAGTTTGAGCTAATGCAATGTACTGATACATTATCTCTGCCTTCTTTTATTTCTGTTCATTAGCATAAAGCAATTTTCAATACATGTGGATTAATTGGGTTTTAATATACTTAAAGGTAACTGCTCATGGTAATAGAAGTAGAAGGTAGGATGATGAGACATTCTGTTATTTGCTCTGTGGAAAGATAACACCACACACTTAGTACATAAAATGTTCCTAATTAGGCTGATTCTTTTATTCCTATATATGTGAAAGGTATTTCATAACTCCATGAAATTGTATAATAATGCTCAGGCTTATGAATAGAATATTAGTTTGTATGAATCTAGAGTGGGGTTATTTCTAGGTGATGCAGGTGGCAAAGAAGACCATGTCACAGATGTACCATGCTACCTGCTGCAGCATTACTTTTCTAGTCGTGCCATTGACTTTGTAAACAGGGAAGGGAATATAAAGGTGCATAGCTCTTTGCAATGCAGTTTGGCCATAACAGGCTTCAGTGTCTTACATAACCCCTAAACACATTTTTTATCTTTTAAAACTGTTTCTTCTTTCCATTGCCATTGGGAAGATGGGAAAAATAAAAATTGATCAGTTCTTTCAGTCCGGTCACCTTCAAGGATAAGGAACCAGGAATAGCCTCTGCTTTCTATTGCTCATAGAAGTGTTGTGTTTTTTTTTGGTTTTTTTTTTCATCTGAACTAGAAAAGAAAATAGTAAGTGGTGAAACTCTTGAAGTTTTTCTTTAATGTCTACTTACTTGAAAATGTAATCTTAATTCTGTGTTTCAGGTGCACAGATCTCATTAATGAGCATCCATGTTCATGTGATACAGAATGGACTGGCACACAATGTAAAATCAAGATTAATGTAAGTTGTATTATTCTACTTAAGCTATATAAGAAATTAATTTAAAAGAAAAATGAAATGCCTTCCTGTAGGTTTCATAGTCATTTCCTCAACAGTTGATAATTTCACTACTCTTGAACCTTTTATCTGTGTAATTCCTTGGTTACTGCAAGCAAAACAATAAATCACAGAATTTTTTTTCACCTTTCCCCTCTTTATCTCTTATTATCATAAAGTTCTGCAATCTGGAACTTTCCTTAAACTAAATCCTGGAAGTGGCCATTATCAACAGGAGCTCAGATAGCTTATGTTTTACCATCTGCCCTTTTCTCCCTGCTCTTAGCACACAGAGGTATCTGTGAGTCTGCGAAGATGAGAAAGGATTAAATTGATCCTGACATCAAGTATAAAGTAAATACTGAATAGATATGCCAAGAGGTTGGCAATGCCTATAATGTCTCAGAATCCATCTTTCAATCTCTAGGAGTCTGTGGTGGTATGATTGACACATAATATTTCATATATAATGCCTCCTCTCTTAAGAAATGTTGGTTGCCTGAAGACTATGTTCATTCCTGGTGCTTGAGAATCTTTTGAGTCTTTTCTGGAATAATGGGGAGGTCTTCCAAATCCTTCTTGGCTTGCAATAATATGATAAAGGAAGGAAGCACAGGGACTAAAAACAGCTTTTGGTATGGTGAGACTATAAATTTCATGTAAATCCTTTGTGTATCTCTCACTCATCAGTAAAACATCACTATAATAGTTCTGACATCATAGGGTCATTGTGTGAGAATGCACAGGATACATGGTAGATACTTAGTAAGATACTTAGTTGAGAGGGTGATAGAGTGGTTAAATGCATTCAGGGATAACAAGGAGGGAATGTCTGTGTTACTACTTACCTAATGTGTGTTCTTGGACAGATTACTTATATTTGAAAGCTTTGATTTAGCTATTTAATGAGGGTAATAGTAACTACCTCAGGTTGTTGTGGGGATTAAATGAGATGATGCATACAAATCAATTAGCACATTTTCTGACACACACTAGCTTTAAAAAACTTAATAACATATTGATATTATGTTTATTTGTTTTAGAGTGAAAACCATACCTGAGGTGGAAAAGGAAATATAATTAATCAATTCCCTGGTAGAGAATGGATAAGCTATATATTTTGTTTGTACTATTGTAAATATTGCCTGCAGTAATCTCTAAAACCATATTTATTGGTAGTATAAATATTACATTCTTCTTTTTGAATAAAGGATATCAATAAATAAGCATTTTTGGCATATATATATACACATATATATATATGCATACACACATCCAATATTATGAAACAAATTGTTAAAATTCTACCTGATGCTTCTAGATTTAGTTTCCTATTATTTTTACTTTAACATAAAACTGAACTCATCTTCATTACCCAGTGACTTTGTTTTATTTAGTATATCTTAGGTATCATTCCATTAATAATGCAAAGAGTACTGACTCATTTTTTTAATAGCCACAAAGTGTTCCAAATAAGCATTGAAGAACCACACTTACATAAAGAGAGCCTAACCATTAATGCATAACAAAATAGGCATAGATGGGACTTAATTAAAAATGATTAAAGCCATATATGATAAACTTGCACCCAACATTATACTGAATTCAGAAAAATTGAAAACATTCCCACATAGAACAGGAATCAGACAGGGTTGCCATCTATCACCACTTCTATTCAACATGGTTCTGGAAGTCCTAGCCAGAGAAATCAGACAAGAGAAGGAAATCAAGGGTATCCAAAAGGGGGCAGAAGAAGTCAAACTATCACTCTTTTCTGACAATATGATCTTATGTCTAGAAAACCCCAAAGATTCTGCCATGAGACTACTGGAATTGCTAAACAAATTCAGCAAAATTTCATGTTACAAAATCAATATACATAAATCAGTAGCATTCCTATATGCCAACAATAGTCGGAGTTAGAACCAAAACAAAGACTCAATACCCTTAACAATAGCAACAAAGAAAATGAAATACCTAGAAATATAATTTAACTAAGGAAAGACCTCTACAGGGAGAGCTATGAAACACTGAGGAAGGAAATAGCAGAGGAGGTAAACAGGTGGAAAACCATACCATGCTCATGGATCGGCAGAATCAACATTGTTAAAATGTCTATACTACCCAAAGTGATGTACAGATTCAATGCAATTTCTATTAAAATACCAATATAATTTTTTCATAGATCTAGAGAAAATTATTCTATGCTTCATATGGAACTATACAAGACCTCCCTATAGCAAAAGCAATCTTAAGCAAAAAGAACAAATTGTGAGGCATCAACTTACCAGACTTCAAGCTATACTACAAGGCTATAAAAACTAAAACAACATGGTACTAGGACAAGAACAGAGACATAGACTAATGGAATAGAACTGAGAACCTAGATATAAAACCATCCTCATCTAGCCATCTATTCTTTGCCAAAGCAGACAAAAACATACACTGGTGGAAAGAATCCTTATTCAATAAATGGTGCTGGAAAACTGGATAGCCACATGTAGAAGACTGAAACAGGATCCACTGGTGGAAAGAATCCTTATTCAACAAATGGTGCTGGGAAAACTGGATAGCCACATGTAAAAGACTGAAACAGGATCCTTATCTCTCACAAAAATCAACTCACGGTGGATAATAGATTTATATCTAAGGCATGAATCTATAAGAATTCTAGAAGAAAATGTTGGGAAAACTCTTATAGATATTGGCCTAGGCAAAGAATTTATGAAGAAGAACTGAAAGGAAATCACAGCAACAATAAAAATAAATGAGACCTGATCAAATTAAAAAGCCTCTGCACAGCTTTTTATCATGAGAGCAAACAACCTACAGAATGGGAGAAAATATTTGCATACTACACATCCAATTAAGGGCTGATACCTAGAATCTATGTAGAACTCAGGAAAATTAGCAAGGAAAAATCAAACAACCCTATCAAAAAGTGGGCAAAGGACATGAGCAGAAGCTTTTCAAAAGAAGATAGACTAATATCCAACAAAAATATGAAAAAATTCTCAACATCTCTAATTATCAAAGAAATGTAAATCAAAACTATAATGAGATATCACTTAACTCTAATGGGAATGGCTTTTATCCAAAAGTCCCAAACCAATAAATGTTGGTGTGGATGCAGAGAGATAGGAACACTCATACGCTGCTGGTGGGACTGTAAACTATTACAACCTCTGTGGAAAGTAATATGGAGATATCTCAAAGAGCTACCAGTAAAACTATGATTTGATCCAGCAATCACATTACTGGGCATCTATCCAAAAGAAAAAAAGACATTCTACAAAAAAAAGACATCTGCAGTTGAATGTTTATAGCAGCACAATTCACAACTGCAAAGATGTGGAAATAACCCAAGTGCCCATCAATACATGAGTGGATTAATAAAATGTATATGTATACCAAGGAGTTCTATTCAGCCACAAAACAATGGTGATAAAGCACCTCTTGTATTATCCTGGATAGAGCTGGAGCCCATTCTACTAAGGGAAGTATCACAAGAATGGAAAAACAAGTACAAGATGCATTCACCATCAAATTTGTATCAACACTTGAGTGCATATATGCTCAACACTTAAGTGCATATTGATCAACACTCAAGTGCATATATAATAGTAACATTCATTGAATGTCAGGCAGTGGGAAGGAGGTGGAGGGGATGACTATATTTACACCTAATGGGTGAGGTACACACTGTCTGGGTGATGGACATACTTGAATCTCTGACTTGACTGGGGCAAAGGCAACATATGTAACCTAAACATTTGTACCCCCATAATATGCTGAAATGATTTAAAAAAATAAAGAGAGAGCATGAACATACCATTTTCCCAAATCTGATTTAGGTTTTAAACAATTTTAAATGATTGTTGACTAATTTGCTAAGGAAAATGTGGCATGTCATTATTTCAATTTATGATTTCACAGGTTACTACAAAGATTGAGCAATTTTTCATATAAATATTTGAAGTTCTCTGTGTCACAGCCTTCTTCTTTTGGCTTGCTTTCCCTTTACTTTTTGGTTGGTATATTTTATTTTAAAGTGAACAAAATGCCCAAGGTTCTGAAAAGTTGAAAATCTTTTCTAGAGCTTAGACACTCTTGTTTATATAATTTGTAAATTATGAGATTTTCATATCTTTCTTTACATTTTTTATGAATCTGGGCTTTGCATTTCTCCTTAGAAAATACTTTCATACAGCAATATGTAAACTATTTTCTTATATTCTTATCTACTACCATTTTAGGATTAATGGCACTTTTAGTGCTTTATTCCATAGTGAATATATTATTCAATTGATAAATTTAGGGATTTAACTTAATGACTCTTTTCAAAAGTACATTCAATTTTCCCATGAAATTTTACCAGAACATCCATTATTTCTCTATTGATTTGGGATGCCTCACTTTTCATACACTGAATTTCCATATCTGGATTAGTTTGGAGGCTATCCTCTTTCTCTGGCATTTCATCTCATCATGCACTAGTACTGTGTGCTTTAATTATTATAGTTTAAATAGGATGTTTTAAAATGTGCCATGTTTAGTTAATACCTTAAGCGCAATCTAAATATAATTTTGGTCATTTGCTCTGCAAATAATGGATATTGAATATCTTCGAGAAGCTGAGATACAATTATCAAACATATCTCCTTTCCCACCAACTCCACTTGGAGAGTTATCAATCTGTCTGTCTATCACCTATCTGTTTTACTTATTTGCTGATTTGTTTATTTTAACTTTCTGTATGCTGCAATGCCCAGATAATAGCCTCTGAAGGACATTTATGTCCTAGAATATTTTTCTAGGCTAAAGAGACAAGAACAATGGAGAAACATGGGCAATACTAATTGAAAAGAGCACTTAGGTCAATATAGGACAGAATGTTATATGTGAAGCTCTTTGGGAAATGGAAAAATATAGTTTAGTTAGCACTGGATACAGAAAAACAGAAG